GTGACGCTCCTCTGCCTGGAGTAGACTGTGCTGGAAAGAAAAAGCCAGGACGTAGGAGACCCAGCAATCTGAGAAAAAGGGGTTGAGGACTTGGATTCGTGGGGTGAGAGAAGAGCTGAGTAAGGATGTGCAAGTGGACAGAAAAGGGAAGGCGGCCTCGAGGATGACTGTGAAGCCTCAAGCATCAGTGATTAGGAGGATTATTCTGGCATGAAGCGCTCTGGGTTAGGAGCTGCTGCATTAGTTTGCCGCCAGCTCTTTACTTTGTGGCTGCGTCACGGTGGGCAAGTCACTCCTTCCCTCTGATCCTCAATTTGCCCGTTTCCAAGATGGGTTAACAGCACCTGTCCTTCCTCCCGCAGGCTCTCCTGAGAGTAAGGCAGAGCAGATGGGGGGCTTTGAAAGCTGTCAGGCGCTGTGTCACTTCACAGGCCTGTGGGGAAAGGCATGATGGTGCTCTGGAGACAGAAAGGGACATGGGAGAGGGAATTCGTGTGTTACGGGGAGACTCGGAATCTTTCAGATAACCCGCAGCAGGGTACAGGGCACAGGGCACAGCTTCGTACTGTTAGTACTCCGTCTTTTTGTTTCCGGTGGTGTAGTCTGGTGGTCTGTGCCCCAGAGGGCAGTAGTCTGGGGGAGATGAAGCTAGTTCTAGATCTGAGGACGAGCTCTGCCTAAGCTCTGTGGCTTTTCTTTTCTAAACCACAGTCACCTCTGCTTGAAGACACTGTAGGTTACCGAAATGTCTTTAAATGGTGTCAATCTCCCAGTCTCATTGCCAGACGTATTTAATAGACATCTCAAAAGTAACACATTCGGAATTGAACTTTTGCTTGGAGATGTGGCTGACCCGTTTTATTTGACTGTGAAAGAGAGCGTGAAATTCCTCAGCTGGCCGTGCAGGGGGCTGGCTGCTCTGTCTGGGGACCAGAATCCCTCCAGACTGGGTGTTTTACAGCAGAGGGATCCCTTTGCCTGTTCAGGCCCTTCATATGTGTTTCCTCATTACTTAGAAAGTGGGCAGCCATGCTCTCAGCTTTCCAGTACATACTTCCTATTTAATAACCAAAAAAGTTGATGAACCATGGAAGGTTTTAACCATGTCTGCCCAAGTTCCAGGGTAAATCAGTGATTACTTAGTGTGGGGAAAGTGGTGGGCAGCCTCGATGCTAAGTGCGCCTCTGCCAATAACTCGCTGCTGACTTTGGGCAAGGAACATAAGCCCTTTGCTCCTCATTTTCCTTATTGGAATAAGTAGGGACCACCCAGGCTCTGAAAGATGGAAAAAGCGCAAATTAGCAACTGAGCCGGCTGGCAAATCGGAGGTGCTGAATTAACAGTGTGTCCATATCACAAATGATTCCACCTATGTCAACATTGTAGAATTTAGTCAACAAATAGGCATTTGGCAATAACCACACTATCAAAGAAAGTCATGCAAAATGAACCTCTTTATTCATCTTTAAAAAGGAAGGAGATTCTTTGGTTTACACTGACATGAGTTGGGCTGAAATAACTCAACCAAGTTTGGTCTTTGGGTTCTGTCATTCTCTAAAAAGAAAAGCCCATTTCTGGGTGAGCGTGTGTGGCTCATGCCTATAATTCTAGCACTCTGGGAGGTATAAGTGGGAGGATCACTTGAGCCCAGGAGTTGCAATGAGCTATGATGATGCCACTGTGCCACTGCACCCTAGCCAAAGTGACATAGTGAGACTCTGTCTCAAAAAAAAAAAAAAAAGAGAGAGAGAAGAAAAGAAAGGAAAAAAGCCCCTTTTTTCACAAACGGGTTTGATGTGTGTCTGCCTAGGGTCTTATATGAAGAAAAGTATCTATGCAAGTAAACAGGACATAGTCTCTGTTCATCTCTGGGTAAAAGCAAAAGTCGTCTCTGGGCGTGGAGGACTTGGTGGCGAAATATCTATTTCCACAGGGAAATGCTTGTAAAACCTGGATGCTGATCCCAACTCTGACCTTTGTGGCTGGTGCCAGCACTTGCACTGCCTCCTTTATTCAGACATAGAGAAAAGCCAAGAAGTGAAATGATATTTTCCTTCCCTCATCATTACTCAGCACGGCTGGTTTGCTTAGCAATAAGAAATTCAAGTGTCAAGAGAAACTGCAGTGCAGTTTCTTAGCCAAAAATGCATACTCCCTGAGAGTCAAGAGACTCACTGTGTTCTCATATTGTTGCTGAAGACGATGGTCTTGCAAGTTACTTTTGAAATGCACACTCTATCTATAGCTGGCTTACTCATATTGTCTGAATTTTAAAGGGAAATAGCTCTTAGACCAGAGTGTGTATTAAGAACCACCTGCCAAGCTCACTAAAAAGGGATCCCTAACTGATGCCCACACTAGGTCACTGGGGCTGAGGAATCTGTGTTTTTAACACATGGCAGCCTGGGTTTGGATTTGGGGGTGGTCAGCAAGCTGCCCTGAGGAATACCATGTGGGTGCCATTGCCTGGGTAGTAAGACCTTTTGGCTACCTATATTCCCTTTATAAGCCAAAGCCCTCGCTGTTGCTTTTAGAATTGCACTTGAACTTGGCTGTGTAAATTGAATTATGAATGTAATTATAATGATTATAAGTAGTAATTATTACTGACTTGCAGCAATTTTTTGTTTATTCAAATGACACGGGAGGAACGTGATCTGGGAAGTCAGAAAGGGCTAGCTGTAGATCTTTGAGGTTCCGTTTACTCTTACTTGGGCAGGTTGCTCAACTTCTCTGGGGCTCTATTTCTTCATCTGTATAATGGGAACAATATTATTCACTTTGCTGAGAGAGAAGGATGGTGAGGATGGATAAAGTGACTTAGGTGTAAGCCCAGAGCCCGATGCCTGGCATTTTGTAGAAACTCAATAAATACTAATTTTTCCCATTCTTACAGGAGGAAGATTAAATTAAAAAAAGAAAAACAAAACAGCTCACATAATCTCCACTAGCACTTGAAGCAGATATTGTTAAGGGAAACTGTTTTTATTGCTCAGGTGATTTGATTTTTGGCCTTAATACGTATCACTTTTAAGATCAGTAATTATTGAGGAGTCTTCTCCTCCTTAACCCTTTTAATAATACTAAGTTCTGTTCCAGGGAGATCTCAATGGGTAGATAAGAAAAATGCAGGTGAATTTCAACCTTGGTGTCTTTCCCAGACATTCCCAGGGATGGTCTGTTTTAGAGAACACAGATCAGGTATTTAACCTGAAACTATACCTGCTCCTGGGCAAAATCTCACAATAAGAACCTTGTTTCGCAGAACTTAGTCATGGATTATTTGGACTGTCTTGTTCAAACTCTTTCCAGGTGAAATGAGAAGATTGCAGAGGTCTGAGAGCAACAACGAACCATTCATTACACTTGTGGGGCACCGTGAGCTCCTTGCTGGGAGATGCTTGCTGAGTTAAGATCTAGCAATATGTGCCCATGTCGGCCCCCTGCACAGCCTGGTTTTACCTTCTACAAAAAAGTCGTCTTTGTGTTGATCAATTCATTTTAGGTTCCCAACGCTTGTCTCATATCACGCTCACATAGGTACTTAAGTAACTTATATCTCATATTCCTCCTTCTCAGGACCCAAACAAAGAAAAAAGGAATTTGGTAGCAAAAAGTGACAATCTGCATTCTATGGCTGGAGAAGGTACAAATTAAATGAAGACATTTGGGGAGCTCAAAGCCCCTGGGGTCCTCTCACAGCCTCCTCTGGGCCTCTGTCAAGGGGAGGCAGTGTGCCCTGGTCTCGGCAGGATAGGGCAGTGGTTGCTATTTCTTGCAGGCCACACTCGGGAAACTGACAGAGTAATCCCCGAAGGCCCCATCATGTGATTTTCAAGTCTGAAAAGACCCTAGAAATCTTCTGGGCCAATCCTCTTTGTTTTTGTTTTTGTTTTTTTGAGACAGAGCCTCAAGCTATCCCCCTGGGTAGAGTGCCATGGCATCACAGCTCACAGCAACCTCCAACTCCTGGGCTCAAGCGAGTCTCCTGCCTCAGCCTCCCAAGTAGCTGGGACTACAGGCGCCCGCCAACACACCCGGGTTTTTTTTCCTGGCTATTTTTTTTTTGGGGGGGGGGGTTGCAGCCGTCACTGTTGTTTGGCGGGTCTGGGCTGGGGATTCGAACCTGCCACCTTAGGTGTACGTGGCTGGCGCCTTAGCCGGTTGAGCTATAGGCGTCGAGCCAATCCTCTTTGTTTTATGGGAAAGGAAACTGAAACTCAGAGAGATCCACTTGGTTCCTAGTTTATTTTTTAAAACATTACTGCCTGCAGTGTGTGGATCAGGAACGATGCACGTAAGAGGCTCATGATGGGGCCTCCGATGGGTTAAATGAGTTGCCAAATTAAGATCAGGCATGACTCCCTGAAAAGTCGACCAGGAACTATCCAACGTGCAGTAATTAAAGAGGAGAGGAACGTTTACTGTGCTCCTTTGATCTGTGAGCCTTCTGCAGTGTCCCCAGGAGAGTCCACTGTGGACAGCAGTGAACCCCAGTGCAGCGCTGTGTTTTGTACCTTACCTTTCTTGTCCTTAGAAATCAGGGATTTCTACCACAAAGTACAATGGGGGAGGGAAAAAGAGGATGAACTTGAAGAAAAGGTCCCCATCTTCATGGAACTCAGTCTGCAGTGAATACCTGCTAAAAGCTGCCCTCTACATTGAGATAAAGACATATTGTACAGACTCATTACAAAATATCAGACCAAGCAAGATAGTGTATTTCATGGTCCCATATTGGTCCCATCCTAGAGAAGTTTGGGAGGAAAAGAGAGGACAGCAGGCTCCAGAGGGGAACAAGCCCAGTGTTAGTATTTTCCCCACTGAACTGTTATAGCCACAATTGTCATATTGATGTGTGTGTCCCCAGGATTATAGATTTTGGGGGTTCTCATTTCATGCTATTGAACCAGTATGTGTGGCTCATTTGATGCTGAAATTATGGGGATATTTTTTAGGAATACTTTCTACTCACCTGGATCTTTTTTTCTTTTTCTCAGTGGCCCACCCTCAGGACCCTCACCACCCACCGGAGAAGCCTGTCATTCACTGCCATAAGTGTGGGGAGCCCTGCAAGGGTGAAGTGCTTCGGGTCCAGACCAAACATTTCCACATCAAATGTTTCACCTGCAAAGGTATGGTGCCTCCGGCTGCCAGCCTTAGTGGCACATCACAGTCAGTGCTTGCTGTGGGGTTGGCCCCAGCCCCTTAATCCCACATCAAGAGTTAATGCCCTCAGAAGCCCCAGAATCATTCACCTCTAGTTTGAGTCTTGGTTATACTTTAGGGGTTCCCAGGACCAGCGGTTCACAAGCCTTTGGGTGCTCACCAAGGTCCCTGACCTGACTGTTGAAGAGCAGTAAAGACAAATGCAGCCCTGTGCTTAGCACCTTATCCTTCTTGTCTCCTGAAGTCAGGGATTCCTACCACAAAGTAACCTTGTTCTATATCCATCTGTTATAAAAGAGCTGGGAAAATCCTAAGATTAGGGTGTCGAGGCACTGGCTCCTGTGCGTGCATTGAGAAGCGAGAATTAGGAGGTCTGCAAACAGAAGGGTACCTCCCACACCAAAAGCTACCAGTTAGATGTCAGTGTCCATCAACAAGCCTACTTTTTAGGTTTACAGAGGTTGGCATTTTGGTAAGAAATCTGCTGACCTGTTATTTGAGAGCCAGGACATGGCTGACTAAGGAAAAAGTGGAAGACGAGAGAGAAGAGTGGTTTTTGTGTATGTGTTTGAGAAATAGGTTACTTGGGCTGAGAGCACATCTGGGTGGCTCAGGATGGGGTGAAGGACGTAGGAAGGAACGGAAGAGGCACAGACTCTGAGCCTGCCTTGCAGATTTACTCTGTGCCCTGCACACGTTAAGCACCCCCATTCCTGGAAACTGGGTTTCATGTTGAGTGTCTGAGGTCACAGAGACTCAGCATGGAAGGCCAGGGATGGTGACCCTGTAATCCTAGCACTCTGGGAGGCTGAGGTGGGAGGATTGCTTGAGGCCAGGAGTTCAAGACCAGCCTGAGCAAGAGTGAGACCCTGTCTTTCCAAAAAAGAAAAATTGGCCAGGCATGGGGGTGCATATAGTCCCAGCTACTCAGGAGGCTGAGGTAGGAAATCGTTCAAGCCCAGGAGTTGGAGGTTGACGTGAGCTATGATGACACCATTGCACTTTAGCCTGAGACTCTGTCTCCAAAAACAAAAAAATTACGCAGCATTGTATCCCAGGCCATCCTTTTGTGGCCAAGGAGGCTCAAGTAGACACCAGAGTAGGAAATACATAAAATACATAAAATACATATGTATACATATGTACATTTAAATACATAAAAAAAGGAAGAGGGGAAGCGGGGTGCTTTCCTGGAGCCTGCAGCCACTCCTTTCATGGAGCATGAACTTTTCAGGAGAAGGAGCGTTAGCCTGTGCAGCTAGGGTGACTAAGCTCAGTGCATGACACAGGTTATACATCTGTTAGGAAGAGATTATTTAACTCTCCTGAAAGTCTCTACCAGGAAGAATGATAAACCCAAGTTTTCAGACAACCCAAGTTGGTCATCAGGCAATATCAGCCACACCCAGGGTGCTGACTGTGCTGCTGTCGCAGGTGGCTTGAGTCCTGCCTTGCCATGAAGCAGCCGTGCGATTGCAGGCAATTTCCTTGTCTCTCTGTGGCTCTGTGTCCTAATCTATAAAATCAAGAGACTAGACATTGTGACACTTAAATCACTCTAGGTCTGAAGTTTGCAGTTTCTGTGCACACAGTCCTGTATTATAGTCCAGTCTATATTATAGAATGCAAGGTCCTGAATTAGTGTCATAGGTAGCATGTCAGAGAAAAATATTTTTTGGTTATATCCAGCCAGCTAACTCAGACTCAGCATTATAAATATGTTTTTAAATTTTCATAAATTTCCTGAGACATCATTCCAGGGACAGATTCAGTATGAAATATAAATATAATCGATAAAGGGCTTCAGCCCTGTATGTATTCTATAATAACATTTCCAGTTGAAAGTGTAAGGTGTTAGTCTCTGATCTGGGCTGTCACTGCTCCACACACCAAGGCATCAGAATGCACATCATTTATCCTCTGCGGGATGGAATACCACAAAAGTGGTATTAAATAAATGAATCATAATATCCAACTTGTATCCCAACTTTCTGTGGTCACCTTTTTTTTTAATGTCCAAAGAAAGTGGTTTAAGCTCCACACCTTATACTATAGGAAGTCCAGGACTTTTGCCAAGATTTGAGAGGAGTGTTATCCAATAGAAATACAATGCAAGGCATGTGTGTAATTCTAAACATGGTAATAGCTATGTTAAAGAGCTGGAAAAGGGCTCAGCACCTGTGGCTCAATTGGCTAAGGCACCAGCCACATACACCTGAGGTGGCGGGTTCAAATCCAACCTGGGCCCACCAAACAACAATAACGGCTGCAACCAAAAAATAGCCAGGCATTGTGGCAGACACCTGTGGTCCTGGCTACAAGGAGACTCTCTTGAGCCCAGGAGTTGGAGGTTGCTGTGAGCTGTGATGCCATGGTACTCTACCCAGGGGGATAGCTTGAGGCTCTGTCTCAAAAAAAAAGAGCTGGAAAGGACATGTATGATTAATTTATATAATATATTTCATTTACTCCCCATATCAAAAAATGTATCTTTTCAACATATAATATAAAAATTATTGAGATATTTGACTTTTTTTTAAGACTAGCTTAACACATCTCAATCTGGATTAGACACATTTCAAATGCTCAATTGCCACACATGTTAGCGGCCACCGCAGCGTTAGTGGCAGCCGCAGTATTAGTGGCAGCCGCAGTGCTAGTTGTAGCCACAGTGTAGTGGCAGGCGCAGTGTTAGTGGCAGGCGCAGTGTTAGTGGCAGGC